GGGTAACGAGCATAGACTGCAAGGAACGGCAAGTCTTGGGTAATTTTCAGTTATTGCCAGAATGGAACTTAAATAATCCGTTCACCCGGCTATTTGAAATTACGAGACTCAGTCATGGTACTGGAGAGGGCGTTTATGTTTCCATCGTATGCAAATCTACTGTCCTCCAAGCCTAAAGTCCAAAATTTCAGGTACGAGACAGAGCTTCTGAATCTCATACGAGCTAGCAGTTCTTCAGTGAAGAGGATCAGTTGGCTCATGCATATCACACTAACGAACATCAACCAACCAGAGCCTATGAATGGCATGTTTTGGGACCATCCCTCAATTGCCGCCTCGTCTCCAGACACTGCGAAAGCTTCAACGACAATCTAACAGAACAAATCACTATAGTGGTTCATATTGTTGATTATCCTCCGTACTATACTAAACCGAAGGGAGTAGGGCGTTTGCCAACTATACTACGAGACCTGTGCGATTGGCTCGGGTTTCCCAGACAAAACACAACAGAAAACCCCCCCATAGTCCGCAGCTAAACGCGCTCTTGGGTATCATTCTCTCCTTGTCGCGTTTATTTCTTCTCCAGCTCGTCGAGGATGGGCTTCTCCAAGCTCTCGGGCTTGGTGGTGCTGGCCCAGCGGCCCTTGACCTGGCCGTCGCGGCCGACGAGGAACTTTTCAAAGTTCCACTTGATGCGCTTGAGGCCCATGATGCCGGGCTTCTCCTCCTTGAGCCACTGGAAGAGGGGGTTGGCGGCGTCGCCGTTGACGTCAATCTTTTGCATGATGGGGAAGGAGACGCCGTAGTTGACCTGGCAGAAGTTCTGGATCTCGTCGTCGGAGCCGGGCTCCTGGCCGCCAAACTGGTTACAGGGGAAGCCGAGTACGACAAAGTCGTCGCCGTGCTTCTCCTTGACGTCCTTGTAGAGCTTCTCGAGGCCGGCGTACTGCGGGGTGAAGCCGCACTTGGAGGCGGTGTTGACGACGAGGACGACCTTGCCCTTGTAGTCGGCGAGGGGGACCTCTTGGCCGCGCTCTGTTTTGGAGGGGAAAAATGCATGTCAGCCAGAGCATTTTCAAAGTGATTGGTTAGTTATCGCGCAAACAATGGAATCACACGTACTGTCCAAGGGCTTGAAGTCGTAGAAGCCTGTTGCGGAAGCCATTGCTGCGGTTGTGTGGATTTGTTGTTGCTTTTCTGCGATAGCTCTGAGATTACCCCGCAATTGGATCTTGTTGATTAGTTGCGGTCGGTTCGGCGATAATGCACAAGTTTTGAGCGTGTAGATGTAGGGAAGAAAAGGTCTTTGATGATGCACAGCTACAGAAGCAGCAGTGGAAGTTGTTATGGGAGAAAGGGCTCTGGTATGTAGTTGACGAAACATGCCATACGTGACGCCACGAGGGAGGGATTGGGTGATGCAGGGACGGACGGGAAGGGAAGTGCGTCGTCCTTTCCTGTCACGCCTGTCCCTTTGCCAGTGTGCTGCCGGGACAAAGTTTCAATCCGGTTTCCAATGGGGTACCCGGGCACGGGCGTGCACTCGCATCGAAGCCACACCAACAGACTACGGATGCACAGTAAGGTACTCCGTAATGGCCTACGGATACCTTCCATTACCGTTAGTGTTGCACCATCACACTTCCAACGCCTCCACAGAGCTGCACTTTGACACCTCGAATGGGCCAGAACAAGAGGGGCACGACGGGGTCTTCGGTCGAAAGTGGGGCTCCGTCACGATGGATGCGGGAGGGTCGACAAGCTCTGCATCGGCCGAGGTACGGGACGGCATGTTCTGGTTCCGTTTTGTTTCGATCCAGACATGCCAATGTCACAGCTTGTCTACTCAGTATGGTCACTGGTGGCACTGGTGGATAGATGATTATCAAACAGTGCATTACAAAGCTCAACTCAAATAACGAGCTATGTTCCCCAGTGTCTTGCTTGAGGCCAACCAGAATACTTTGCCTCTGGCAGCTCTTCAACTTGGCAATCATACAATATTGAATCAATACATACTTCGGATTCATGAAGCGAACGCGAGACCCGGCTCTTCATGTGAGAGTGGAGCCAGTCGGTTGAATGTGTTGTTCCGGTGCCCGAGTCGGCCAGTCCAGATGGGTGTTGAAGCATCTACTTTTACAAGTTTAACCAGCATCAACTTTGAAGTCCGGGTCTTCCGTGACGGCAGACTGCCCGAGTCGAGGCAAGAGCACCGAAGATGCCGGGGGAAGCTACCTCAAATACAATGGAGGGTTCATGAAGCTACGCCAAACCGGCTCATAACGTTATCAGAGGGACATAGAAGTTAGCCACTCATCAGTTGTCAATTACTAAGCAGAATGAAGTCGAGCCGAGGCGGATCAATGCTTCTTCCGTCATAGCTCCCTCGCCGAGGTGATTTCCGTATTTGGAATGCAAGCTCAATCCTGAGCCAATTGCCGCCCCGGTCTCTCTCAGCGCAATCTTTCCCAATCAACCTAACAGTGCGCGATTCACCCGAATCACGTCAGGCTGCTAGAGACTTTGCCGCGTCCTGCTACCTACAGATACAGATACCTGCTCCAAAGTACCTTGAAGAGGGGGGGGCCGCAACCCGGCCGCGGTCTGTTCCGCCGCCGTCACCACGCGCTATCGATAAGAAACTACCCCGCCCCGGACCGTGCCCCTCGACAAGCTCAGGATCGAGCGGGACGGCCGCCCCACGGGGGGACGAAATGCCCGCCGTCAGGAAGAAGACGAAGAAGCAGCGGCGCGAGAAACGACAACTCGACATTGCCAGACGAATACTCGAGGAAGAGGCCCTGTCGACACTCACACCGCCCTTGCCAGCCATGGATTCCCAAGCAAAGCGCAACATTGTCATCGTCGGTACGTCTACTACACAACAGGGTCGTCTTCGTCTTCGTCGTCGTCGTCGCCACTTCAAGTAGACTGATATAAAGGGCACGGCCACTTTACAGGTGGCGGCATCATCGGTTCCACAACGGCCTACTTCCTTACAAGACACCCGAAATACAACCCGGCCCTTCACCGCATCACCATCCTCGAGGCCAGCGCCATCGCCTCAGGCGCCTCCGGTAAAGCAGGTGGCCTGCTCGCCCTCTGGGCCTACCCGTCCTGCCTCGTCCCACTCTCCTACCGCCTGCACAAGGAGCTCGCCGCAGAGCACGGCGGCGAGAAGAGATGGGGTTACCGGCGCGTCAACTGCGGCAGCTTCGAGGCCCGCGTCACGAAGCAGACGCTCGAGAACATTAAACAAGCCGCCGCTAAACCCGACGCCGTCGCGCCTGGTGTCAACGAAGGCGAGCAGGAAAAGGGGTGGGAGAGGCTGCCGAAGCAGGACGAGGCCGCCGAGGCCATGTTGCGGGATTCGGGCGGCGTGCCGGGGGACCTTGACTGGATCGATCGGGCCGCCGTCGAGACGTACGCGGAGATGGGCAGGCCCGGTGCGACGGAGACGGCGCAGGTGCATCCCTACGACTTCACCACGTCCATGGCGGCGCTGGCGCAGGAAAAGGGCGTCGAGGTGCGGACCAACGCGCAGCTGAAGAGGATTATCTCCGGTGAGGGGGGCGGCGGCGGCGGCGTCGTCGTCAAGAGCGTCGAGTACCTCGACCGCGAAACCAACGAGACCCGGACGATCGACGACGTGACGGACGTCTTGGTGTCCGCGGGGCCTTGGACCGGCCGCCTGCTGCCGCGGTCCAAGGTCACGGGCCTGCGGGCCCACAGCGTCGTCTACAACGCCGACGTCAGCCCCTACGCCGTCTTCACTAGCATCAAGCTCCCGGCCGATTTTGTACCTGAGCACCGGGTCAGCAAAGGCCAAAAGAGGAAACACAAGCGCGTCGTCGACCCGGAGATTTATGCGCGGCCGTACGGTGAGGTGTATGCATGTGGTTCGTTGATCCTCTTTTCTCCTTCTCCTTCTTCCCCTTCCCCTTCCCAAGTCATCGAAAACACCAAAGTTAATAGAAACACCCCACACTCCAGGCGAACCAGACGAAGACGCACCCCTCCCAGAGACAGCAGACAAGGTCCAGGTAGATGAAGCCAACTGCGACGACATCATCTCGTACATCGCCACCGTCAGCCCGGCCCTGGCGGCCGCCTCCATCAAGGCGAAACAGGCGTGCTACCTGCCCCAACACGAGTCCGGCCCCCTCATTGGCGCGACGTCGGTGCCGGGCCTGTGGCTCGCGGCCGGCCACACATGCTGGGGCATCCAGAACGGACCCGCGACGGGGAAGCTCATGTCCGAGTATATACTCGACGGCAAGACGGCTAGCGCCGATATTTCGGAGCTGGATCCGAGGCGGTATAGAGTTTAGATGGACGGTGACGTTTAGCGCAGACATGCAGTGGAAGTGCAGTTTTAGTACTGGAATCGGTGCTGCATGGAATATGAAAATAAGCTAGACACGCATGATTGATGAAACATGAGCAGTCATTTGAAAAAAAAATCATAAGATCTATTATGAGGCTCCCCTGGGATGCTCAGTCCCGAGGACGATATCTCTCTGACTATACGCTCCTCCTAGTACAAGAGTACCAAGTTGGTAATGGTACCAACAAATGCAACCTCTCATCCCAAATCGTTATTTCCGCGCCCAAAAACTCCCTATAAAACCATCGATAAATGCCAACCCACATTGTCTTTTTTTTGGGGGGGATGAGGACAAATAAGTCCGAGTTATGTCAGGCTAGGTACCTTGGTGAGAGCGACCAGGTAGGAGCCCGTGAGGTGAGGTGAGGTGAGGTGAGGTGGGGGGGGGGGTGCCAAAGAGCTCGGCACATCATCACCCCGGACATTCTTCCGAGACCTAGCCCGGGGAAACTACCCCCACGGCCGTGATCGGTGGGAGGGGGGACGTTTACCCCACCATCTGCCACGCTGGGCAAAAAAAAAAAAAGTTGCCCGCACGCTTAGGTCATTTTCTTCCCATGTTTTTCATGAGTGCCTGAAATCATGAGAACGAGGAAAAGTTGCTCTCCAATTAGAGAGAGTTCTCAATGTCCATGACCTCCTTGATGCCCTCCTCGATAGAAGAGGTACGGGCCTTCTCCAGACGTCTCAGAGGCCGTCTGGGGAAGCCTCCGTAGCCGTAGTAGCTCTGAATGGCGCCCTTGGTGCCGGCGATGGCGGCCTTTGTCAGGAACCAGTCGCCGCGGCTGAGCTTCTTCTGGAGCTCAATGGCCTCGTCCCTCTTGCCTTCCGAGTAGAGGTTCCACACCTTGACGCAGACCTTGGGCATGACGTTGGCGCCGCCAGCGATGATGCCGCTGCCGCCGCTGGCGAGGGTTTGGGCCGTGAAGTCGCACATGCCGCCAAAGGCCATGTAGCCGGAGCCTTCTGACCAAGGGGTCTTTGCGTCGGTGGCGAGGGCCACGCGGGTAAGCTTGCCCGTGTTGCCGCAGGTGAACTTTGTGCCGATGATGTTGGGGTGCGCGGCGAGCTTGATGAGCAGGTCGCTGTCCATGTCGATGCCGGAGACGGCGCCGGGGTAGTTGTAGAGGATGAGGGGGATAGGGCTCTGGTCGGCGACGGCGATGAAGTAGTCGTGGATGGCCTGCTCGTCCATCTGGGCGCGGAAGTAGGAGGGGGGAAGGATGAGAGAGTAGTCGGCGCCGACCTCAAGGGCGGCCTTGGAGAGCTCAATGGTGCCGCGGACACTGCCCTCGGTGGCACCGAGGATAATGGGGGTGCTCTGGAAGCCGGCGGCGTCGAGAGCCTCACGGGTGGCCTTGGTCACGGCCAGCTTCTCCTCGCGTGTGCAGTGGGCAGCCTCTCCGTTGGAGCCCATGACAACCAGGCCTGCAAGACCAGCCTTGGCCAGACGCTCGGCGTGCTTCTTGATGGTAGGGATGTCGAGATCTTCCGTCTCGGGGTCGAAGAAGGTCATGGTGGGGGCGTAGATGCCGACGGGGAGGGGGCGGCGAGCGCCACTGCTTCCGTTGGAGACGGTCATGATGGGCTGGTTTGGTGGGTGAGCTGGATGAATGAGAGAGAGGTGTGAGCAAAGTGTGAGTGAGAGGGGTAAGTTTGGAGAGGTGAAGAGCACAAGAGAGGAGTGGAATGGTTGTTGAGAAGGGGTAAGAGATAATACTAACCAGAGAGACGGGTAGAGGCCGGTGTTGTATTTATAGGAGGGAGAAAGAAGAGAGACAACAAGGAGGACTGGAAGGTTTCCGTGAGCTAATGGGCTTGTTCCAGTATCAGCAAGCCTGCGTGGGGTGGGATGAGTCTAGAAATAAATATTTGACGTGTCGCGAGGGACTTGCTCGTGTGGACATTGGCCCGAACTATCGAGCATCGTGTAGACTCAAAGCCAAGACCGGAGAAGCTAACAACTGCACAACGGGGCCACCTTGGGACGCTCCCTTGCACCCCAGTTGGGTGAGGGAGGGGGAGGGGCAATCGGAAACTAGACGAGAAAAACGCTAAAAGAGATGGAGAAGGGGGGTGGAGTGTGCAGAGAAACGAGGTGCATCGCCGGTACTGCGGCAAGCGGTTCCTGTTTCCAGGGAGTTCAACGATGTTACTTTTGGTGTCCAATTTCTACTCTTGGATGGCCCTGATTAGCCTACTAGGATAATGATGGTCAAGCTCACATATTTGCAGATATCTTGAGTGAAGGAATGGACAGCACTGGTGAGGATGAAGTCGGCTCGCTGCGTCTCAGTCCCACCATGAGGAGGAATCCTCTGGGCAGGGCTCTCAGCCATGGCGGGGTGTTTGCAGACTTCAAGAAAAGACAGCCGTCACAAGACGAGGGGAATCTGAGACAAGCAAGGGACTTCCCTTGAAGCTCCGATCCATCCAATATCGCCCACCCACGTCTGTGGTCCGTGGGCTCCGGTAATAGACGGTAGCGAGGATGCATCTGCTGTACGCTGTAGCCCTGTGTCGTGAACAGGATCTTGCTGGGAAGATGGATTGCGCCAATAAGCCAGATGCTCCCGGCCGATGCCACGAGATCTGCACGGAGACAGCTCGCACAGGGCTGGATGGTGTCCGAAATCTGAAATCGCGCGTCGGGGGCATTACCAGACGGTGATGAGAAAGATGGCATTATTGGGAGAGCTGTCGTCTGGTTATGCAGCACAAGGCTCGTCAAGCCCATCCTGAGCATTAGCGCCGAACTGGGACATGCACAGCTGCAGGCCGGAGGGTGCCTGGCAAATCATCCGGCGATTGATAGCCCAGTCTCGGGGTTGCTCGCCCGTCGTGCATGAGTTGAACTTTTTTCCGTCATCATCTTTCTTCTGGCCTATCGACACCGCCAGAAAGGCAGTAGACGCACTAAGCGGCACGTTGAAGACAAGGAAAGTGACGAGAGCCACGGCAGCAGTGCTCTCTAGCCCAGAAGGTCTTGGAAACCCTGCGGTCAGCATCAGGTGGTGAGTTTGACAACTTGTCTTGCTGTATATCTGGAGACGAGCAAAGTAACCATGCTCTGCCCCAGGAAGAGTCACTCTCGAAGCAGGTCCCGGTCACTGCCGGTCAGCTCCGGTGACCGCAGCCGGTGGCCGGCGGGAGAAAGCCGGCATGGACTTTGAAACAGTAGAGCATCTAGCAGATGGCGCAGTGCATCGCTGTAACCTCTTTGCAACGATATGTGAGAGGCTGGCCGGCGATACGAAGTGTATGGAGTGGCATGGATTTGTGCGGCGTTGAAGTGTTGGAGAAGGTTGGAAGTGATGGAAATGGAAGTCAGCTGAGTGGACGGAGAAATTACGTCCAGATTGTTCCGCCAATAGGAACTAAAGAATCATCTTTGGCAGGGTAAGTGGGGTGTCTTCGAATGAGTGGAGGTGCCACGGTACCTTAGCTTCAGAATTGGAGCAAGCACGGAGAGGCACGAGGGGTCTAGACATCGGGGCTGGAACGGAATGAACGAGCGAAAGGACATAGGTACTAAGACTCGCGATCAATGTGAAATTCATGTAGAAAGGCGTTAGGTTGTCTACTATTCTGAAGTACTTATCAAGGTTGGCGTGCCCTGGGGTCTGCGCTACCTCCTGGTGCAGATAGTATCATGAAATGCTTCACGTTGTAAGTACTGAGTCAAATAAGGTATGTACTTCTTAAACTCCAATTCTCGGGTAAAGTCGTGCAAAATATCAAGTATTGCTAACATCGCAGGCAATGAAACTCTGTGGACTTCTGTGCAATACAACCACACTCAATTAGCCGGTTGGAGAGGGATTAAATATCGAATTCTGCAGGCGATGTATCGTTTGCAGGTAAAGGATCCCATCGCCTAGTTTTCCTCGGAGCAGGATGCCCTGGTGCGCGTTTCGGAATGAATATCACTGCATCAGCCGTGAAAGCCTGCATATCGTCTGTCAAGGAGATTTTGTAATCGACAAATCTTCTATATGCATTCTGTGCAGCGAAATGCGCAGTAGCAGAATAGTCTTATGGCCTACAGATACCTTGGTGGTTTATTGAGATATCTACTCACTCAAGGTACCTCATGTATTTTATACCAGTGGTCATCCATGTCACGAGTTGACGCGGGGCAGATGGGGCGTGGGGGTGGGGAATGGGGCCAGGAAGGAAAAAGATAGTTATACCAGCACTATGGTTGTGTCTCCGCGGGCGTGCAAAGGCTATCCAGGTAACATTCGTCAAGTTCAAATCAGAATTTGGGAATACTGGTTCCTTGAATCATTCAACCTCCTTTAACTTAAGATGTTTATCCAACATTCTTCGTGCTCGCTCTCGGCTCTCAGAAATTCTGGAGTTGAGCTGTGGTCCGAATACAGGGTTGATTCTCAAGTAAAATGGTCTTCTCAGCCAACGGGCAATAACCGGCGTTAATTGCTCTAACCGGCCAGCACTTGATCCCCCCCCCCCCCTCCAGACAAATTGGCATTATTCTCCATGGCCAAATCCATACGTTACTAGGCCAACTACTAGTACAAAGTGAGGTGCACAAGTACACCCGTTGAACCTCAATGGAAGAACGGCACGACGCTGCCCCACACTTGCGATTCCCACAGCCCCTCCCCCTCCCCCTCATTCCACTTTTTTTGCTGCCCCTCCATGTTTCTCTTACTCTTCAGTCGCGAAGCCGCAACTCACGGATGTCTTCATTTTGGTTTCTGCTCTGGTGCGAGACGAGAATCGAACAGAACAAACCACAAAGAAGAATTGGCTACCAAGCTGTCCTACTACCATTGCAAACTTGAGCCACAACATGAAAATCTGGCCAGATGGCGTGGCGGCGCATCCTCCGTCTCGAGCTTGAACCGGCCGGTGCGCCCCTCCGAACACCGGCGTCCACGGCACCGTGGCTTCGGCCATGCTCGGGATGTGTTTCCGTAAACGACAGCATGCTCTTTTTTGTCTCCTACTATCTTTTCCCCCCTACGCTAGGGACATAATTTCATTACCGTAATTAGAAGTTCCCCGCGAGTCTCTCATGCTTCCGCAATGTGCTCCTGATCCAAATTGATGCTGGATGAATGCTGAAGAATACACCGTGCATATGCCATGCGACTTGTTTGCTCTTCCAACAATCTCGGGTTGGTCTGACAAAACAAGCCAAGAGAAACCACCATAGCACATCATCCCAGAGACTCCCTATAATTGTCTCCATCAGACTATCTGGGCGGATAAGTCGAGCGTCTGGGCTGGGGGAGCTGACGCACGGCGGAGTGCGGGGCTGATAAATCCCTCCAATTGTCTTTCCCCCTCCTCTGCCCCTCAATTTTTCCGGGCCCAGCTTTGTCGTGGAGTAGCTACGAGACGTGACGGAGACAAGACGGAAGCTCCTCCTTGGTCGCCATACCACGGCGAGCTTCATCCTAAGAGAGAAAAACAATCTTGGCCTGCCCATTATTACCCGTTGCTTCTCTTGTCCGTGCCGTCTCTCGCTGCGTCTCGCCCGAGCTATTTGTGCTACTTGACCCGTTGACACGTTCCCACTCCTCTCTTATATAGACCATAGCTTTCGCCATCTGTCCTAGCTCGTGAAGTTCTTCTTCTCCATTCCCTCCCAAACTTTCTTCCCCCTCACACGTAACATTTCCAACCCATTGAAAGAAAAGACGCGACCAAAATGGAGCCTCTCAACGTCTTGATGGTAAGCCAATTCACAAGCGTCCCGCTCAATTTCAGTCACTGATCTCATCATCACCAGGTTGGTACCGGAGAGTACACCACCGGTTTCGTCGGTGGCGGTGCCTCTGGCTCGGACAAGAAGGTGGGCGTCGTCGGCCTGACTCTCTTCGATCTGAGGAGAAGAGGCAAGGTAAACCAGCTGGGCATGGTTGGTGTCAACGGCACAAAGTTCCCCGCCATCAGTAAGTAGACGCCGCTTCCCGAGCAACCTAAATTTAGTCAAAGTGATGATGCTAACCAGGGCGTGAAGGGGAGCATCTCCACAAGAACATCACCCAGGCCTACAACGGCCTGGACACCTCCTTCGACTCCTACCCCGCCAACGACAAGAAGGACCCCGACTCCTACAAGACGGCCATTGACGCCCTCAAGGCCGGCGACGCCATCACCATCTTCACTCCCGACACCACCCACTATCCCATCGCCCTCTACGCCATCGAGCGCGGCATCCACGTGCTCCTGACCAAGCCCGCAGTCAAGGACCTGGAGCACCACCAGGCCCTCATCGAAGCCGCCGACAAGAAGGGCGTCTACGTCTTCATCGAGCACCACAAGCGCTTCGACCCGGCCTACTCAGACGCCCGCTTCAAGGCCCAGAAGCTCGGCGACTTCAACTACTTTTACAGCTACATGTCCCAGCCCAAGTCCCAGCTCGAGACCTTCAAGGCCTGGGCCGGCGTCGACTCGGACATCTCCTACTACCTCAACAGCCACCACGTCGACATTTGCGACTCCATGGTCACCCAGCAAGGTTTCGTCCCCGTCAAAGTCTCCGCCTCGGCGTCAAAGGGCATCGCCACCGACCTCGGCTGCGACCCGGCCACCGAGGACACAATC